TATATATATATCAAAGTTTACTTTCTTTATCTATTGTATACAATACTAATGAAATGATAACAAAAAATTAAAAATAAATGATTTTTACTTTGTCAATTTTTAGATAAATGTGATGAAATAAATTGGATGATGAGAAATTTTAATAATATGTACAGTAAATTACATATTCAATGAATATATTATATGAAACTAAATGAGATAATTTTTTTATTAAACTAGTAAATGTAACTAATTTTTCTTTGTATAACTAGAAAGTATAATTCTTTCCCAATAGATTGTTTCACCTATAGGAATAAAATAGTTCATTTAGTTACGAATTTATGTCTAAATCAAAATTGAAACCTCAACCCTAAATTAAAGAACACAAATATTGAATAAATTACATTAATAATTTTTATAAAAGCATGGGAAAATCTTTTTTAGTTAAATAATTCTAAATTTTAAAATTATTAACAAAAAGACAAGGAGAAGATATAAGATGACTATTAGTTTCTTTGTTTGTTTCTTTTTATATAAAGAATAAATAGTTAATTGCTTTACTACTTCTAATTTTAGTAGTTAGTAGTAACTAAAGATAATACCTTAGGTTTTAAGTTTAAACTGTTTTACCGTAAATGTAATTTTCCTTATCACTGATCAACAATTTGTTGCTATTTAACTTTAGCTTCTATATTTACAAGTTCATGATGGCACTCTATAAAATATGAAATGGAAATAAGATTTTTAACATTTTTACTTGCTTGTCTATAATTTCTTAGTTAATTATAGTTTTAATTATTTAAAATATACTTTATTAACTTATTTTGTATATTAAATCTAACTTTTTTTGTTAGTTGTATTTGACTGTGTACACGTTTAATTTTTTTATTATATATTTATTAAATAAAACGAACAAAAGTTATAATCTATCTCATTATCATTATATATAAACTAAGAGAGGAAATAAAATATTTCCTCATTCTCTTTATTTTTGTGATGTTTTTATTTTATATCAAGGTTATATTTTTATAATTATTTTCATTATAGCAAGTTTTGCAATTGAAATACATTATTTTAGTCTTACCTTTCTGTCTTCCATAATGAATTATATCTTTTTAATTTTAAATTTATATTTTATTAAATTAACTATGCATATGCTTTTCATAATTTTTATCTATATTTTTAGATTTAATATAATTAATTACACGTGATTTATTTAATTTCATTCAAATTTTAATTCAAAAAGAATTTTGTTCATATTTTTAATATTTATGATAATTTAAATATATTTGTATATCGTACGAAATACATGTTAGATTCTAATACGATGTTTGAATGTATTACTATTTTCAACAGATTTCAAATGTTAAATTGGGTCTGTTTGAATGTATTACTATTTTGTGTTTGTCTAATTTTTTTAAATAAATCTTACCTGGTTCTCAAATAATTTCTATTTAAAAACAGTTTTTTTATAAATATTTTTTAAAAAATTTTATCAAACAGAGCCATTATTAATTTACTCTTACTGACCTGTGGTTTACATTACTGTTCTATACTACATTTTTATTGTTGACACTTATAAATTATATATATATATATATATATATATGAAAGGTAGTCATGTGTGTCACTGAGTTACTGTTTCTTTTGGCTAATATTTCATGTATTGATTAGTAAGCATCCAGTGATAAAATATTTGGTGTTTGGTTTTACACATTTTTGTTCCTTGGATTATTGCAGTGGAAGTGAAATGGAATACCATCGTATCGAATCAAGGATCCGGGCAATCCATTGGGACGTAGCACCTTCTCCTTGGACCCCTCTGTATGCTTGCTAACCTCCACTTGCATTCTGCCATCACAGACACGTTGGGTAAGTATGCCACCTACTATCTCCTTCCATTACATCAAGGTCCACACACAATCAATATGCTATGCTTCACACCCAAAATCACAACAACAACCTCACATTCACATACTATCAATATATAATTGGATTTTTCCATTTTGCTATTATTCCAACTCAGATATTCGCGGATTAAAAAGCTCATGAGTTTTTTTTAGAGAAATAAAGGTGAAGAGTTATAATTCTTAAATACTTATAAATAATAAATTATATACTTACTTAAATATTTTTTTAATAAATATAGAATAAACATGCATTTACGGTATAAAATCTTTTTACGTTATCCTTCCACCGCATGTCAAAATTTATAGTTTTCAATAAACTTAAAAAAGATATTAGAAAAAGCATAAATAGCATTCATTAAAATATAATTGCTTACAATGACAATACATATAAATTAATCTCAAATACAATTAATTACATAGAGGAATGCTACCGACTTTTTTCTATAACAGGAATTTAATAAAAATCACAAATTTTAATAAATTCCGTATTTCATTTAATGAAAATTTCATATTATTTAACAGCATAATTTACCAAAAATTCTAATTTTCGATAAATATCAATCAACAACAAAGAGTATTTCTCTCTTTGCACACATTGATGGCAAGGAAAGAAAGAGTGAATAATGGAATGGAGAAATTGAGAGAAACAGTGAATATGATATCTGGCAGCCTGTAAATGCAACGAAAAGGATATAGAGAGTGGTCCTTATCAGCAGCAAACGTAGGAGAAATGCAATGCATGCAGGTCTCGCGGTCCACGCTCTCTTTTCTTAAACTTTGCAACAGACACCTCGTGTGCCATCAGCATAACTAACGATACGTCAATTTTGGTCCCAAGTCCCAACCATACCCATACCCATACCCTCCAACTAAGATAATAAAGATGATAATCACACCATTATTAATATTATACAGATGAATTAAATTAAAATTTAAAAGCTAGCTTACCCAATGAATTTGAGCACTTTGCCATCGTCATCCTTAATGGGTGAAATAGTGAGAAGGTTCCAGAAAGGTGTTCCATCTTTCTTGTAATTTAGAAGCCTTCCGCAGTAAATTTTCCCCGCTTCCAATGCTTCCCTTATCTTTGCCACTTCATTGGGATCCGTGTCCGCGCCCTGTAAAAACCGACTGGAACCACCCAACCGCAAGTATAAATCGTTAATACAGTTATAGATTATATCTTTTAATAATAATAAAAATAAAATAAAATAATTTTAAAAATATGTGCCTACCAGTTTCTTCCGATAACTTCCTTGGACGTATAGCCCGTCATTTTAAAAAAACCGGCACTTGCATAGAGGATCGGGTAATCGGGTTTGGTAGCATCCGAAACCACGAAAGTTTGTTGGAAAGCCGACAACGCGCCCATCACGTCCTCCGAAACTCTCGGAATCCCACCGCCGCCGCCGCCTCCGTCGGAAGACTCGCCGGAGGTTCTGCTGGAGTTCTGAGAGTTCCTTCTGGAAGAGGCGGCGAGTTTGGCGTTGGGTTCCTCGCCGCCGGAGTTCCGGGCAGCGACGCCCTGCGGCTTGCCAGTCTCGGTGTCGGTGCGGAGCACGAGGCCCCACTCGGCGGCTCTCTGTGCGGCGGCGCCGCATTCTCCGGCGGGCGGAGTGATGGCCCTGAGCGGTTGAGAAGTTATACCCCAAACCCACGTTACAAGCATAGTGGATAGCAGTTATTCCCCATAATGACACATGCATGAAGTTAACTGCTCTTGAATGGTGCTATAAATATGTGAAAGGTAGTCATTTACAAAGG